CCATGTGCATATTAGCCTTTTATTATACAGAATATGCATAACCCAAGGACACAGACAATAGTGTGATGAAGGCCTGGGGTGGGGTATGAGCACGGTGGAAGGAGGCAAATTGGGGACATCTGTAATACTCTCAACAATAAAAATAAATGTTTATTTATTGTGTGTATCTTTCTCAGATGCGAAAGCTGACAATCATGCCTGCAGGGCTGATATTTGCATCTATAAGTGTGCATGCAGCCAAAGAAGAGGAATCCAAAAAGCAGCTAATGAAACCAGAGCAGGTAACTTGTGTATAAATGTTTGTGAATTTTTTTATAATATAAATATGATAAAATGAATTTTTATTACGTTGTTGTTACCCCTATTCATAAAAAATGTCGTTGAAATATTTGTTAAACACATTTTATAAGTTGAGAAAAACAGTTATACGGTGTCTTAAAATAAACACTGTATTATATTTAACTCAAAATTCTAATATCCTAATTCCAAGGAAAAACATTTGGTGATTTTTCTCAATGAATAATCAATGAGTAGTACAGAGTCTTAGTACTTTTAAGCTGTCTGGTTTTTCTTTCTTGAAAATGTATACAGGTATTTGGAAGCGTTAGTTTAAGAAACTCATTAAGATCTCATTTTTGAAAGTGACTTTGTATGTTTTCTAGTTCAGCCTTCTGTATGTTACTAAGGTACAATAGGTACACTAAGTGATCATTTATCTTCTACATGAATATAACTCTGGATAAAGGAACCTAAGGCAATCTGTTCAATTTGCTGGCAGCTCTCATTCAATTTGAGATCCTTGCCCTAACCGGTTTGGCTCAGTGGATAGAGCATCGGCCTTTGGACTCAAGGGTCCTGGGTTCAATTCCAGTGAAGGGCATGTACCTTGATTGCGGGTACATCCCCAGTGGGGAGTGTGCAGGAGGCAGCTGATCAATGTTTCTCTCTCAGCAATGTTTCTAACTCTCTATCCCTCTCCCTTCCTCTCTGTAAAAAAACAATAATATATATTTTTTAAAAATCTTTATTCATAACTGGCCAGTGTGGCTCAGTATTTGATTGCTGACCCATGCACCAAGAGGTCACAGGTTCGATTTCAGGTAGGGGTTATGCAGGAGGCAGCTGATTGATGTTTCTCTCTCATCCTCTCATCAATGTTTCTCTCTCTGTAAAAATCAATAAAAACATATTTTAAGAAATTTTTATTCACCTGCCTGGAGATCAAATTCAAAATGGGAAAGGGCTATTTCTCTTTGAAACAGAGAACATTTTGTCCAAAACCTGCACTCAAAGTGACATACAACCCTGCCCTGGAAACGACACCACCATTTACATTTTAAAATACCGAATTATTATCTGAAAACTTATGGAAAACGGGTAATATGCTAATTAGATCTGGAGACCTTCCAAGAGACCTTCCGGTTGTCCTTCTGGACAAAGCCATGGTGACGGGGCTGCAGGCAGAGGCAGTTAGGGGTGATCAGGCAGGCAGGCAGAGAGTAAAATATAACAATTACATAAAAG